TAGTAGCGTCAAACAGGAAATGAAGAACCGCTCACCCTCATCCTAGTTAGTTCTCGACTGATTCCATGAGGCATTCTAGTGTGTTTGACCACAATTACGTCCTCATCAATGGCATCGACTGCCTCCTGAACAGTTGAACATAGCACAAATCGAGTTAAATGGCAGTTAAACCCATTACCCTTTCTTCCTTTTTCCTTCGTTGAGCTTCTTTCATCATACGTTCACGATCCTCAACAGTCGTGCGTGTGAGACGCGTATGACCAAGATTATTCCACCACTGTGGTAAGAATAAGGTTCGCCGCATGCCGCACTCTAATCGAAGTAGAAGATCTCGAAGTTTCTGCCATGACGTCGTTGGAGAGTCCAATTCCTTCAATTAGCCACATTAGAAATGGGCACTCGTCGTTGTGGATACCACGATTACGGCATTACCTTTTTGAAGGATGGTAATGCATCCCGCCACTTCCGCTGCATCAACTCAATAGGAATTTTTCGTAACACCTTTCCAATTGTCCAAGCCACATACAGGGTCTGTAGTTTTTCACTCCCGTAAAGAGTATGTCCCTTCGCAATGGACCACTGAAAAAGTAGTTACAGGAAGTTTATAGGTACAACTACATCGGAAAACACATGGCACTTGATGGAGAATACCATGAGATAGTTGAACAAAAAAAGAATTGAATCATTAGCAATGCCCGCTTTTGCAGACTATGATCAACTTGCCAAATTTCTTATACTCCTCTAGCAGATTTACAGATCCTTATGGTGCTTGAACTACGAGACAAAATGGCTATCCTTATTCCTGAGGAGTGCTGAAGCCTCCCCTTTGACGAATATTCACCTTCAAAACCTGAAGAGTTCCTTTTGCGACACACAGAGAACGGAGCCCCTCGAAACACTGCAGCGGTGGTATAGCAACGCGTTAAACAAAAAGACATCCTAAGAAAGATCGAGGGAGCAGCTACTGGCTACTACTACTTGCACTAAAATGATGGATGAATGCAGAAAAACACTACTAGAAAACTCCCAAATCGCAGCTTCTTATGTATGAAATCATTTTTGCTACATCACATATCGCAGATGAGATCCGGATGTATAAAGAGATTTTGCATCAATGGCAATCTTCCGCCCTCCATATTCCTCTGATCTCGTTCCTATCTATAATCATTTGCGCCTCTATCACCAATTCCGCCGGCTGAAGAGATACCATGGTAATAAACACTTAGAAACGGTCCGCTTTTGCATTTCATAACCAGCACAGTATAATAGGAGAAATATGCATCCCATTACGTTCATGATGGGTCGGAAGCAATGTGCACCAGACTGTGATAGATTGATTGTTCCACGCGAATTTGTCAGCATACATTATACGAAGTTATACGAAAAAGCGGACAGCACGTGTAAATTAAACTAATGTGTGTTTTCATCATGATTCCACAACAGTACAGTTTGCGAGTAGAAGCACAGCTCACCTCAAAAGCCCACTCTCCCTCTTCTATCAGCGAAACTTGTCACATAAATATTTATCTGTCAACCATTTTCTTCTGATCCGTGAGATTGTCACACACAAATCTTGTTATCACACGAAGAAGTTTGACGATACGCTTACACTGAAAAGCAATCAGTTAAACGAGCACAGCGCATTAGAATATAACCAATTGTTTCACGGTCTGAAGATCCATCATCATCCGGAGCAAGCCCAAAATTTTTTTTTGTTTCCCCCTGGGAAAAACTAGACGCGAAGAGTCAGCACGCAGTTTATCCAGAGAATCATCCTTTTTTAATTGCAGCAGCTCGCTTTCTCTAAAGAAGTTATTTGAAAAAAAAGGGAAACAAAAATTTAGCATTCTAAGCCCCCTAATCATCATAACTGGGAAGAAATTCACATCAACATTTCATAAAGGTGACCTAAAAAAAAACAGGTAACCTACCTTCAACATTGCCGCTCCAAAAATTATTCACGAGACGTCCATTAGATAATCCTAGCATCGTTTTGAAATAATCAATCAAAGTAGCAAATGGCTTCTACAAGTTGTTTGTTTTTAGTTTGAAGGTCACGCTCTCCCACTAATATTTGGATAAAAAAACGTACTTCATCCTCAAGTTTCGGCTCCTCGTCCGACTCCTCTGGTTTTATGTCAGCGTTAAACTCAGCCGACAAAATTTCAGCCATGAGATACACTGAAATAGAGGTTTGCTCGTCCGGTAAACAGGCGAAAAATAATGACTTACTGTTGTCCTGCTGCAAGTACACTTCTGCTGGCAGTGCTTTGTTTGCGTTATAGTTGTCCCTGTACAATGTATCCCTTCGATCAGACGACAGTTCCAGAGTTACTGACATCTATAATTGCGACGCTGGCTACGGTCAGCTGCAGATATGGTCATCAACATAGGAATTTGGTCTTACCTGCTCCAGAATATCGCTTAGCCTTTCGAAAAATACCTTGCACAAGTGAAACTCGTAAAAGGATGGATCCATCAGTTTCAATAGTTGATAGAATGTTGGTTTGCGTGCCGGATTAATACGTAAATCAGGACTTCATCCAATTATGCCTAAACAGTGGAATTGTAGTCAAAAATGAGAGATTATCGGAAAATTCCGGGAATACTGTGCTTCTTATAAAACCCATTACCTTTCAAAACCATTAACACAAATGACTCACACAAATATTCTTCTTGCCACAAACCAATAAAATCTCCCATGACGATCCCGACCGATTGGTTCCATGCGCAGCGGTTGCTTGGATGGATACTCATCCAGTGGCAGACAATCTTGCACCCCTCGCACCTAAGTGAAGCAGGAGTAAATAGCAGACAAAGTCATGAAGATCAGAGGAAAGAAATCGTATCAAAATGTAATGGTGGAAGGTAATAACAAAAACAAAGACAGTACCCAAATAAAATAGACGAAAACGAAAGTACCTTGTTTTTCTCACAAAGCTCACAAATCCATTCGTCAGGTTTAGCCTCAAGGTTGACACAGGCAATATGAAAAACGGCCTCACAAGTATCGCACTGCAACACATCGCCACCTTTACAGCACGAACGGCACGTCTCCTCGTGCTAAAATAGCAAAAATTTGGTACTAAGGAACTCACTAAGAGAATGAGCCAAAACTTACTTCAAGGCGTCCGCCAGTAGCCACGACAGTTTTTTTATACTCATTAGAGTAAAGAAACCGATAACTAAGAAATGTGATAAGAACTAATCGCGTAGAGAAATCTACGAAAGGATAATTGGGAGCATTAACGGCTTCCATGACTTCAACTGGTACATTTACATCGCTGGAGAGGTACTGCCGGAGCACCTAGGAAGATAGGGTATGACAGACGAGTCGCTAGCATACTTTTCATCACAATGTAACAACATGAGAGCTTCATGTCTCACAGTAGTATCGCATTTTACCAATGAAAAAACCTTACAAGAACGTCAAAGAGAGATTTCAAGAACATCAAAGAACTAACCTCAGCGTAGGTCATTGGCTCTAAACAGGCTGTAATAATATTATACGCGTTATTTGTTTCATTTCCAGAAAAGTGAACCTGAAACAGCACAGTGAAAGAACCAAATGAAAAGTGAAATGGTAACGTGAAACCATTTAGCGGAAAATCCCTAACCTGCTCTTCATCATCATTTTTAAAACACATCCTAAGGAGGACAAGGTGGATTTCTGAGAGCAAGCGTGAATTATCAGCGGAAGACAAAGCTGCACAGAAATCTTCAAACAGAAATGGCGAGAGTCGTAACGTACGCCAGTAACTACGCAAAAGTTCATAAAGCTGAAAGAAACAAATATTTGAACCAGAACTGAGAAAAAAAAACTAAAGATTAGAATCACCTCTACGACATCCAGTAAATATTCGCTGGGCACAGGAATGTCTTTACTGCTTTCAGGAAGTACAAGCGGAGGTATTTCTGTAGAAGGTAGATCAATCCACGGTATTCGCGAACACTCAGCCTGTAAACATAAAGATGTTTAGATGAAAGCGGGAATTTAAGGTTCGTTTGATGACTAAAAGAAATACAAATCATTTGAAAACCACAAGTCACTTCAGTCAAGAAACACAAAGATAAAACTGGAAGAGGCCAAAGTAAGCTAAGTGCATGGACGCATACGCATACTGTATCACATGTGACGCTTAGTGAGATCACCCTTAATGTGTAATCAAGTATTACTGCAACAAGGGAACCGACAAACCATTTGGAAGTGCTATATATCACTGCATTCTCCCAACTCACAACTTCCTACTACTTTTAGTGGTAAAGGGATCGATAGCAACATCCAATAAGGATGCCAAACATGATTTCCCTTCAATTCATTATGTGAACTCAGAATATGTCCTTAAACCATGTTCCTTCTTCCCTCCCAACCCCCCCCCCCCACCACCCGACCGGAATTTGACGCCTTTTTCCTAAAATAGGACTGCCCCAACAGGCTTAAAAATTCCAACCTAAGATATATTTTTGAGAAGGGCAGACAACTAGCTCGCGCAAAGCAGCACTACTTCGGACCGCGACTGCTTTTTGAATGTGAGTGAAACTCTCTCTAGCTGCGATCAAAAAATGAGGCTAGCGGAAGCTAAAGTGTTCAGACAATAAAGTAAGGTGTGTGTTGATAGAGAACGTGTACTACTATCGATTTCTGCCACTGCGCATGGGATGATGAATCCGCGTACCAAAAACACAATCTCATAAAATCTATCGCTTCTTGAATTCATTATACCAGGAGTCCAGCGAAGATAAAAGAAGTTCCGACTGTATACCATTCAATGCCCGTTAATACATAACTTTCGCCGGTAAGAAAATGACTCGTTAATGTTTACAGCTTCTTATCTTATCCCATTTTCGAAACTTGCGGCTTCCTTCGAGCAGCTTGGTGTGTTTTATATTTACACATGACCCCTATGAAAAAAGAGACCTGCAAGAAAGCACTGACGGCTGCACCCCTTGCGCGCACGCAGCTGCACGCTTCACCAAGTTTAGCAATAAGACGAATTATAGCTACAGTCATTCTTACCAATATATGCGTAACTAGGTTATCATAGAAAAATGATAAGGGGGCTTAATTGTGGACGTTGACCCGTAAAACGCGAAAGAACGGTTGATATGCAAATAAAAAAAGAGGAAAAATGTCAATTCTGCTAGCAGGAAATACTATCGCCAACGAAACAGGATAGCTGATAGATAAACATACCGCATCCTCCTCAGAGTATTGGAAAGAATCATCATTAGTGATGCAGTCGGTGTCCTGCTCATCTTCGAGAAAAACGTGGGACTCTAAATTAGAATTTTTTTGATAAGCTCTTGAGGTCAAAGGAGGTAAGCTCTAATCGTTTTAATTTGCCTCCTGAGCAAACAGGACTCAAAATAGTGCGGACACAATTAGATTCGATATGAAGCGGGAGCGCGTAATGCAGTGCTTCCGATATTAAATTATCTAATTTTGGGCAACATGATCCAGCAATCAAATCCCAACGAAAGAAAGAAAGAGAAGTAGAGCATGAACAAAAAGAACATAAGCAACTCATAGAATCGCGATCAACCATCATAAAAGAGCTACTTGTTAGTAACAAATGTTTCCATTATTTAAAAGCGCCTGTTCAGTACTTTCATAAACTTCCACGATTGCTACATCTAGTGATATTCTGTTACTATTTTACTTAACAGTTTTCGAAATTTGGCAAAGGCAGGCAGAATTTATTCAATCTTTTACTTCATTAGAAACCCAAGGGAAGTCATCATTATTAGACAGTGATAGACGAGCAAAACCCCTTCGCACGTTCCCACTCGCTGAGAATACCTACTAATCCTAATACTCGTTATCAAAGGCCTGTTTAATATTTGATAGGGGATGGATTCGGGAGTGTGGCGTAAATGACGCCTCTTCCCAAGATCACGCTTAGGAGGTCAGATCTTGGCTAGAACCCCGCTCATACAGCCTAATTCAATTCCTAAGAAGTCGGTCTATAGTTATCAGTTATGTGAGAAGTAAAAGCAGTGGCCTACACCTCGCTAGTCCCGCAAGTCAATACAAAGGCCAAACCACACTCAAACGTTAATACAATTCAGAATTGAAAATTGAATGCGTGGCTTATCCCATAATGGACCATCGACGCCACGCACTGGATGAACGATAAGAGAAAATTGATTACAAAAGATGGCCTTATGCATGGAGGCTACCTGATCCACCTTTTTTATCGTCAACTTTATACTTTTGATGATATTTTTCATTATGAGTCTTTCCTACAGGCGTTACTGACACTAAGGGATTGGAGACATACAGTAAGTATAATTGAGATCAAGAAACAGGAAATAGAAAAACGTAACAATTTGATCAACGTACGTGATGTTCGGAGTGAATATTCCTCCTCACTTGAAGAAGATTCAGATTCAGAACACGACACATAATCATAGCCATGATCTTCACCATCATCAACCTCCCATGGTCTGGAGTGTTTGTTTTGCCCGAAGATCTTCCCCTTCCAGCTCTGAAAAGCTCATTTTATATTTAAAATGGGAAGACCAATCTGAGGTCGTTCTCATATTTTTAATGCGGTTTCCGGTGAGTGAATTCGTAAATGGGAGAATCACCAAGTGCATGCCCGATAGATCTAGTACACCCAACTAGCACAAAGAGCAAGGGACGCAAGGTGTGACCGCGCCCTAAGGCTGGTGTCTGGGTCCGTGATCCGTCGCGCGAAACGCGCGAATCGGGCGAGGGATCGCAGAAATCCCAAGTGCTCCAATCAATAGGGGGCTCTCCAATCGCCAATTCAACTTGATGGTGATGGTTGACTGACGACTGATCATGATTCTACTTGTTTCCTGATCAGTGTTCGAAATGTTCAAGTTTCAAATGTTTGGGCACTTGCAATTTTTGCGATTCCCGCGAATCACGGACTCTGACAGCAGTCCTTAGTGGTTTGAGTGGAGGAAACCCAGTTAAGGTGGCGCCTTACGAAACTGAACGCAGCGATGCTCAACATAACCATGAGATCTCACGCAAAGTCGAAAATAATTCAATAGTATCAGTAATAGAGGTTAAGGGAATCGCAACGGATCCGAATGGATACCGTAGGTTCAAAACAGTGAAGTTACAACTCCAAGCCCTACCGCAGTGTTCCCAACTTTTGCCATTTCTCTACTGAAGATATTTCCTGCCTCCTGATATGTAAAATAGTGCAAAGAGGATGATTCAACCTCCCGCGCAATTATAGCGCCAAATGGCCCACACATGAGTGTTCAGTGCGGGTCGACATCCAATCATTGTCAAAGCAGCCATGTGAGTGGGAAAGATTAGTCAAAATAACAAGCTCAAATGGAAACAACTGAATGACGAAATGTGAACAAACTTAGTTCTTCCATCCGTGTGATTTCTGGCTGTCGACTGAGACTTGGCTTTCGATGCCGACGGTCGCCCTCGCTTTTTTGGCTGTGATCTGCTCGGTGTTTTTGCTGGTGTAGGTGCTGGCGTCGCTTCTTGTGCTCGTGATATGGCCTTCCTTCTTGAGGCTGATCCGAAGCGAAGGAGCTCGTTCCGTCACCGGAAGCGCGGTTCCGGGCATTGACGATCTTGTCAGCTCCTATACTGCAAATACAAATTCACCAGTAGTTCTACAATGACCAGAAGCACGAAGCAAGATAACAACGAGACATTTGTATTCTGAATAATTCACAACGGATTAGCTTACCGGATGGAGATGGCCTTACGTAGGGAGTGCATGTTTCAGTAGTATGGCGTCTAATAGCCTGCTTATGAAGCTTATCATCGCAAAACTGGTTGCATTAACTAATTTTTACATTCTCGACACAGAAATCAGTTGACCATGGCGCATTGGATTAACACTGGAGCATACTCATTGACTTAAAAATGCCTACTGCGGCCTTCGTGGGCAGGACCGGCAGATGAACTGCTGTTTTTTCATCAATGGTCATCAACCTGTTGAAAATGCTGGGTAGGTTCCGAACTTCTGCGTTCTCTTTGAGCGGTACGGCACGTCACCTGTTGTGATTCAAGCAGGAATAGCGCACAACCCAAAGCCTGATATTCTTATTCGAAGGTGGCGATGGCATACAAACTTCTTTTTATGGGCGATAAACGGAATAGTAAAGTGGTGATGAGGAAGTTGGCTGAGGAAGGCAGCCTCGGCAGTCGTCGTTTCGCAACCGCCGCGCTGACCCGCACGCCTTTCTCTGACCGCCTGCGCCCTCCTCTGCATACCCAACGGAAAACCCAACTTTTGGAACATCCTTATGGAAAAATCCAGGTAAAGCCATAAAAAAGGCTTCCTCATCTGAATTATGACGTCACAAACGAATCACGTCATCTGGCAAGCTACCGTACCACACCTGCGCTGTTTCCTTCGAAAAGCGTCCGCTACAGTACGCCTCTTCGTGCTGGGACGCACACTGAAAAGACCGCTAAATTTCATTTTCCAAACTGAAATTTCCTCTGCATTTGGGCTTGATTTCAGTGCCACATATTTGTATTCACTTCATCTCATACTTTTATATTGTCTTCTTTCGATAGCAAAAACAGAGAAATGGATCCACACTCGTTTCATCGATTTATTGACAAGTACGAAAGTTCCGCACGCCAGACAACGCAAGCACCGTACCCTAGGCGTGACATTAAATGTGGCGTGTCATTGCGGACACACACCTCAACTGACGACCCCAACTGAATGATCCTTTTACCATGATTCAATGATTTCTATGAGTTTAGGATTGATTTCGCTGTTTGCGCCGACTCTAGCAGGGCACTAAGTCACGAAAATGGTTCTATTTTGATAGTGTTTGCACTCAACGGAGTGTTGTATGTTTTGTAGGCGTTTGGTTTTGAGATATTTATACAGCAGACGCAAATCATAGTTACAATCGAAAGAGAAACAAGAGGCCTCCTTTCACCTTCCTGCGAGCGGTCTCACAATCATCAACTACATTAAAGCTTCTCAACTCTACGCGCCTCTCGTCCACTACACTCACCACGTCGACTCACCCACCCCCTTTACATTTGCTAGCTATGAAAATCACGAAAAACGGTGAGACGGCCTCGAACCACACCTCCCGCACCTCTTCTCCTCCGAACCTCCGCCCCCCCGATGGCCCGCTGCATTATTCCTGCCACCACCCCCAGCCCCGGGGCACGCTCGGAAGGCCCCGCCCTCGCCCCCTCCTCCCCTCTCGTTTACGCCAGGGAACAGCCTCACACCGCACACCCCTCTCCCCCGCCTCCCACACCCACTACTTTCATCCTCACCCCACCTCCCGCGCTCTCGTGGCCCGACACACACCACTCTGCCTTGCACGCCTCGAGCCCGCACCTCCTCGTCACCACAGCTGCTCCTTCTCTCTTGGTCACCCCCCCCCGCGCACGACCCACCCCTTGCTAGCCACTCCCGCCGCAAGCACTCTCCCCCCCACAACACACTCATCCACCCCACCAGCCACCGCGTCCTGCCCCGTACCCTCGCGCTCCGCCCACCACCCCGCCCCACGCCCCCCCCCCCTCACCACCCGCCCCCCGCCCCCCCCCCGTCGGGCTTTGTCACGCAAATCAGCCTCACAAACACCAAAATCGACTATGGTCATGTTCCTCCCTGATGTCCCCATAGTTCCTTCACAATGAATCATCCTATAATAACCTCACCAGACGAATTGTGGACGGCGTGGAGTGTCTACTCAAATCCACAAGAACCGTAGCGGTAGCTTGAACGATTCGGCCAGTCTTCAAAAGACAGCACAGTGCCCACCTTTCTCTGAGTCCGACATTTCGCTGGTATATTGCGTCAGGAAACCAAGTAAAGAGGAGCTTTTTTTCCAAGGTTGTTCGACCCCACCTTGCCAAGAACATTTATAAAAAGTTGGAAACTCCTAGGCTTACAGTTCTTCCACCTCCGCCGTGTAGCGCTAACGTCTTCTTCGTCAGTCTTTCTTCGTTCAAGAGCTCCCGCAATTTCAGAAGGACGACGACACCCGTACATCTCACCAAATTCCCATGAACAGACAATAATCGCTTGTACACACCTTCCCGAATAAGACACCAAGCAACTAACACAATCTGAATTCAAAAATACTAGTGGATTCACTTAAAAGTAAAAGTAGTTGATTGAGAATAAAGTTGTTCCACTCCTTTATTCTCAATCAACTACTGGCTCTGATGGCGCACCTTTTGTGCAATAAATACCAGATAATTAAATTCAACTAAACCACTTTCGTCAACTGTGGGATGATCAGATGCTCACACAGTAGCCTGAGAGGAAACAATGGTAAAAAAATGAGTTACTCTTAGTCACGCATTTACACGGAGCTTTCGCATCCTTCCTCCCTTCCCAGATGACCTGTGCCTACACGATCACCTCCATAACCTAATCCTAACCCATAGAAAATCCATGAGTTATACGATTGATGTTACGTATTTATCCCACCCTGCGCCCGTGCGATTGCGTACAGCAGGCGATTACAGTACTCTCACGGCTAGTTCCGCTATCGTTGGCACCCTGTTTTCGATTGAATAACTACGGGTAGAACTTGTGATGAGAGGAAATATAAGACTAGATGACTTATATCTGGTCTAGCAATTTTTTCGCATATACCTTCGAGATGTCAGCAGTTGAATATTTGTGGTAGTGGACATCAGATCAAAAAATTCCTATCTCCTATCCAGCAAAAGTGGAAGCGAACACTGAACATAACATTTAATGCAAAATGATTGGAATCGTGGAGAACAGTTTTCCCATTTATAGCGCAATAGTTAAGCTTTTGCTCACAGCTTACGTAAAGAACTGCTATTATCTTCCAACGCAGAAGCTGTAAAATCCCACACAAGGTTGGCGAATAAAAGCGCCAAGGCCATCATGCTCTCCTCCCCGCTCCCTGCTGGTCCCCCCCCCCAGTAGTAGGCTCCAAGACTAGGGGGATGTGTAAGCAGTTTTCATTACCCTCAAAGTTCACCCTCTTCTCCAAGGCTCAGTCAGCGTGAGCATGCCCCTTTTGAGTACACTAGCGCCTCAAGAAATTGATTCGCAACGGTAACGCAAACGCTCCTGTAAGCGGATTATCTCCAATGGAACTGAATTACACATTTTACGGCATCCTTTTACAGAAAGAATGAGTGAACCTTCCCTGGCCTATTATCTATACCTCCCTATATCGCGTGAGCTTAGGGGTGGGCGCTGTCACACCGGACTGACGATCCGTATTGATAGAACGCTTGTGGACCTAGCTGCTTCCTCAAACCTACGATCCTGGCTATCCCAGCAAAGCCATCGCTGCGCAACAGCTTATCACGCCGCCTCTCTATCAGTGACGTCACTTCCGCTGACCACCCCCGCCGCGACTTTCGATCACTGCCCGACTGTCACCAAGTATGCGCTCCTTCCACGCTTTCAGCACCAAGCTCCTCCCTCACACACGGATACCCCGATGTGTCAGATTTTCTATGTCCATGGCAAATATCTACCCACCGTGCTAAGTAAATACTCAACAACTGTCCGAAAGCCGTGAGACGCAACTACTAAGCAGTTCATGATGAAAACTATCTCACGAATTAGAACTCTCTCTTCCCTCAGGTGCCAAGTAAACTTCGTCCCTCGAGTCCCTCACTGCACTGGTACAATGCATAATGGCATCAATGATTGTTCTAGTGCGGAACATTATAAATACCCTAGCACATTACCTACCCGTCTAACTATGTGCCTGTTTACGCTATAATAGTCAAATGACATTGAGAGCAAATTTAGAGATGAAGCGGTTCCAGGCGGCCGCACCAGCTTAGCTTTCTGACGACGCACCTATGTACCAGGCATCTCCACTCCGACCTCCGTCCACCTAGTCCGACAAGCCAGAAAGGCATGGCTCAACTCAGTAAACAATTCGGAGCTGTGCTATTTTATAAATTGATTAGTCTTCCCATTTCCTTTCATTCACGAGCCCCGCCTGTGATCATCAGTTACAAATGTCAACGCCAGTAGAACTAGGCGTGGGCGTACTGTAATCGCTTTGCGGTACGCCAGCAATCTGCCCCCCCCCGGCCGCCACGGTGCGGCGACACACAATCGTACACTCGCATCATCGCTAAACCAGATCTCGATCCTCACGCAACGGGGCCTCCGGCGCGTCTCCTCAGTTGAGGTGTCGGTGCCTCCGCACTGGCAACGCCACATTCTAATGCGTCCCACGCCCTAGTTCTGGTGCTTGCGTTTGTCTGGCGTCGCGAAATTTTCGTTCTCTCGTGATTTATTGTCTCGATAGTGTTCTCCACACTACTCCAGTCCTACTGTTTATTTTTTGTAGGGAGGGATGTTACTTTAGCTGCACTTTATCCTGGTGTTGATTGGATTCGTCTCTAAAGATAACGATGTTCGGATATGGCGAATTGTTCTCGTTGTTACTTGATAACCCGCACCAGGATCATTGTCCCCGGTGGGTTCCCGCCCAAATTGGCCATTCTGGTTGTATCTTAAGCGCGGGACGGGGACACTCCACCTGCACTGAAGTTTTCTCCGAGAAGAGCAAGATCAAGCTCCGAGCCAGGGGAGTGTAGCCAGTCTAGGGGTGTGAGGGCAGTCACTTGACATGCGTGAGAAGTTCGAATGTTCGAGTTCACACAAGTTCGCCGAGAAACTGCATCAAGACGCCCCCCCCCCCTCAACTGGAATAGACCCGACATTCTTTATGAAAAATGTTACTTTTGTGTTGTTATTGCTAAAGCGTTTTTTATACCTCGTAATATAATCATCGTTCTCTGTCATTAACGAAGAAATGGCATCGGTGCGGAACTTCGTGCCACCTTCAACAATCCCAACCCTCCAGAGAGAGGAAATCCGAGACGTGTGCGAAACGAAAACAAAATGGTTCACGCATAGAGGAGCTTTCTTCCTGGCAAAAATGGAATTACATGTGGACAGCAAAAACTCTTACACCACTTCCTTCCCACTCAATACCTACTCAACGTGGACCCAATAATCTGTTGAACTTTTGCTGGCTTTGAACTTCTACTTGAATAGCGGTAGCGTTCGAGTGTGCTAAGCGCTGCCACATTTTTGGTGCGATACCGGTGGCATTCTTCATTTTTACTAGAACTCACTCCTCTCTCCCTCTCTACAGACTGGGAACCTGCAAGTATTTTACAACGCCCGGGTTACTGATTGTACAGGTGTATGAGCTCCACTGGTGCTTAATCGCATGCTGCTGTAGCAAAACTATGCGTCTTCGTTCTCTACAGCATTCGTACTATATTCCTTAGTAATTTTATGAATAAAGCTGAACATTTTGCATTCTTGAAAAGTATAAAAATTCAATTTTGTCGGTTCTATCCCCTGAGTTAAGGTGATCCATGAAGAAGCATTCGACAAACTTTTATCAAGAGCTAATCAACTACCACGAAAATTTGGGAAAGCAAAAATATGCTGCGATCAACTCAAGCAACGTAAGTATTTGATTACTTGTTGAGAGCAGATTTAGTCTGAGTACTATTAGTTGAATCTAACTTTCACTCGTTAGGATATCTGTCAAAGCTAAGATCGGTTGAGAAACGCCTGGAGCAGATGGCTTTCCTTGAAGAGCAGTTGAAGTCGCAGTGCGAGAATTTACAACAATCAGAAACCGATCTTGGAAATGAGATAGCCGAACACCGAGTCCGAAATGAAGGTAGGGCTATCTAAAAACTTCTCTGGTATCAGCTGTACGAAATAGATTCATAAGAGAAGCAATCCATCTAACGATTGCTCGAAACCGTGAATCTTAATCAAAACCAAAGCATGTGCAGGATCTTATGCGCTCAGCGGGAGAGAAGGACAGTAGTGGATAATGATACTGCAAAGAGATATATCAGGTGGTAATTGTACGGTGTACTCTATTGAAAACACGCAGTTTGCTCTTTGCTCCGTTTTCAGGGTGATTCCACCACAGTTTCTCTTCTCACCTATTGTTAGACCTAGAATTATATTCTTTTTCAAAAATTAAGTATTTGCATAAAATATAGCTTTTCGTAGCGTATGCATGAATCTGCTTTGCATTCCTCGAAATGCTGAACTGAATAACGGTTACTGTTCGTCGGGCCGAGAGACCATCCTTGCAATGCTGTGAGCAAAACCAAATTTCTGGGCTACACTCGTTACACATCCTCCTTCCGATTTCTCGATGATTCTTCCTCGCTATGAAGTCACCGCTAATGTTGTCTCTGAGACTTGCTGTAATCAAGAACACCACTACATTCCACAGTAACTTCTCCCTGATTAGTACACTCCCTCTTTTCCTGTTCCATCAACCCCTTCGCACCGCGTGGCCAGTACCGTTTGAGCCCAGACTGAAGCCGGCCGCATGGTATAAAGCTCAGTTTGTTGTGCCTATCGTGTAGGACCTTTGGCATCAAGCTCCCACAGTTCATCCAGTTCCGTTAAGTTGTAAAAAAGTTATGCTGTTTTATTTACCTCAAGTCAAGTCTATCTCACAAATGTATTTTTAGTGGGCTTGTTATTTTACAAGGCTGTTACTTAAGAAAGAATTTTGAGGTAAATGCTTTTCTTTAATGCATTATTTTGCACCCAAATTTCTTATGCACATTTTAATGTACCATTGGAAGGTGTTCACAACATTGTGGCCTTTTCAATAAATACGATTCGAAACTTGCTGCTTGATAAGTTAAAACTGGAAAATAGTGCTGAGATTTGCTCGACCGTCCTCGCTATTCTCCAAACTTGATACTGTGAATTATCGCTTGTTCAAGTCGCTCCAACCACATTCCCATGGTGATCTACTGGTATTAACGCAGTCTGCGAACTTTAACCTAATTTTCTGAAAGGAAGTCGGATTTTGAAGCCATGGTACTGACCTGTGACCTGAAAAGTGGCAAAATCTCACGGTCCTAATTTAACATATTTAGCTCAGAGACTGGCTGTGATAAATGTACAGCTGCGTTTACAAACTAGGAAGTTTGTAAAGTTTTGGAAGAATCTAAAAAACCGACTTCAATCCCTTGCTATAAACCAGTGTAGAAATGCGCTGCAATCGAAGATCGAGTGTAGTCTTTTTTCACCAATGCGCACTTGCGTTCAATGGTGCATCTTACTGTCGAGTTTGACGATTTTACTCCTTTTTTCTGTTAAGGGTTAAGAACGTGTTCCCTGTTCGCTTGCATTTAACCTTATGCAATAATTTTTCTTTGTACGATTGTGGTAATTTCGTTTCTTATTCTACGTTTTTGACTATTTTGTATAATATCAACGAAAATCGTCTGTAACTGAAAACCTCAATGGTGTGACTTGTCTGTTAAGATGATGGCTATTTTGGAAACCGTGTACACAGAAGCCATTTGGGCAGGCGGGAAGTGTCAGTTGTGTCGTTTGCTTGTTCAAACTTGTGAAACCAATTAATTCTAGAGCAAACTCAGCAGTATTTGGATACCTCAATTGACTACGTAAAGCTTGATAAGGAGTATTCACTAGCTTTGAAAAGTGTCGCAGACAACTCGATCGAGAGGTGAGGATTGACACATTGCTTTTCAATGGAGCAGACACTTTTCCTTCTATCTATGTCTGTATCCCATGTTTTTTGTTTAGGTTGAATACAAAACTCTCTGCAAAAGATGCGGATCTGATTATGTCGATCTTATCAGACCGGCCTGACCAAATGAAAGGTATGCCATGTTTTACACTTCTTCAGACGCGATATTTTGAAGTGCGTTCTCTACGTCTTTATTGATCAACTGTTACATATTTGTACCAAGACCTTCTTGAAAAAATTAGCTTGTTACCAGCAAGGGTCGAAAAGTGTACACTGACGGGACCTTCATGATTTGATCAAATACGTCCACTTCAATCAGCGAGTGTATGACGGAGTTCTATTTTCATCTCCCACACATCACGCTATGGCGAGCATTTCTCAGCTCTCCCTACTGTGTCTCTTCTCAGTGCGAGCCATAAAATTCGGCAGTTAAGATCACCTCTCCCCTCCTTCAGATGCAGAAAATTTTCGGCATTTCATAAAATTTCCCAGAATCTGTGAAAATTTATGGGAACGCTTGGAGGGATTAATTTTTTTTTCTTGACGAATCTCCAGAAATTCAGTTCTTCTTATTCTTAACTTATCCAGTCCACTTCCGATTCTGTAAGTACCTGACCTAACATCACTTCCTGCTGCGTAATCGTGGACATTAAACATTGTTCTTTCTCTTTTGAACAGGAAAGAACTTATAATGCCATTTCTGACATTTCCCTCCTCAACTGATATAGGGCGATTCACACAGTCAGGGTCATTGCGTCTTTATGTGGCTTTCCGCACCCGACGATAGTTAGAGTGTTGTCGAGATCCACTGTCTCTGAAATTGGGGAATTTATGAAAGGACTATCAATTGCTTTGATGTTCCCACATAGACGGTTCTCTGGGGTTTCTCATAGGTTTCGTGTAATGAGAGACTCATCACTTGGGTGATACGTTCGAAAATATTCTTCAGTGCAAAACTACCCGATGAATTAGAGTGCTTCACTGAATCCGATCGATTTTACTTATTCTAGGAGTAACTGAATTCGGTACAATGGTCACTTTCATGGTGCACATACCGAGCGCGGGCAACAACATTCTGATCCTGCACTAGGGCGAATGTAAGGCTTTGCGACCGTTCGCCTGCGACTCTTGTGGTTCTCAACATTCAAGATAGGGATTGAGTGGCCTGAGGGAGTTAGCTAGTCTCCGGTGACACAAAGGAGCCCGTGTTTCACCGGCGGTATTGGGTCATTAAACAAGGGCAATAGCTCTTCAATGACCAGCGCTAAGTTGTTAAAATCGTCGGCGAGTCGAGCATTGCGCTAGTGATTGGTCGCAGAGTTTGATTCCTGTTCAACATAGTTGCGCTCGCATTTGTATTCATTACAACCAAGCAAGTTCTTCAGTTTTGCCTGTTACCAGCTAAGAGCAACTAGCTTTGGTGAGATGTGATCAATGGATCGGGATGTGATAGCGACAGCTTGCCGCTGCCCAATTTTTCTCCAGTTGTGATCATAGATGTCTACGATGCTCTACTATTGACTGACTTTCGAGATTTTTTTTTGAATTTCTTTCGCATTCATATTTAGAACGTTATCGTTGCTCGAGCATATGTCTCGAAAAAAAAGGGTTTTTATCTTATTTGAAAGGGAAATTATCAAAGTAATTTGCAGTGTTGGCCAAAGTTATGATAACGGCGTGTCGCTTTCATTTCCACTTTTTCCGTATCTCTCCATTCTCATCCTCTCTACGTCCATTTTCGGTAGAGTAGATGTCTTCCCATAGAAGCCAATGGTGCCAAATATCGAAGAATACTAAAAATTAGTGAAACAACCATGGCAATCTATTTGAGCCGCCAAATCTCTCGCGCGCTATATCCAAAAGCAGTTCCACGTTGCAAGGAGCTCGTACGAGCAATAGTTGAACGCTCCATGAAGTTAAGAATCACAGATGGAAAGTGGGAAGATTTATGGTTGTAGTTACCACCAGGAAAATCATCAAATACAGAATTTCGTTCTGTTTTTTGGCGATTTTCGTGCTAGTTGATGTAAAAGCTCAATTAGACATGTCAAAAGACTCAACAGTTTGCATCATGGACGAAAGAGCCATTTGAGAACTATGCCCTAAACTCTCAAAAGAACAGAAGTACGTCGTACAGCAAAAATTCTGCGCGTGAAGATCTTCTCGGGTTCATAGCTTCCGTCTGATCGGTACCTAAGAATCCCCTAGCTAATTTGTCTGCATTTCCATAGTGAGCCTTGAAAGCAAACGCAAGTAAAAACTCCAAAGAATATCGGTCCTTTCGAAGAAACCCTGGAGCAATTTTGACGCGCCTTGATTGCATGCCACCAGCATGTTTGCCACTATTCTTATCCATGTGAATGCAGTAGTGGCAGATCTATCGTATCGGTGGTTTTGCTTTGTGATTTGAGTGACAAACACTTTTCCGGACTATGTACTTCTATCAGGCTCATGCCTTTTTGACCATATTCTCTTGGTCAGCACAATTTTGGGCCATCCTGTATTTTTATGCTCGATGATACCCACTCGGGTCTCAAACTGTTGCGAACGATTGGCTTATACAGGAAAATAAATTTATCAGCAAGTGTAACTTGTCCAAGTCAAAACTGAGAAAACCTTCGACATTCTTGAAGTAGCCAAAGCCTTCTTTGTCGCTCCTTTAGATAGTGATTTATTGCATTTGAGCTTCACTGCATTTTTAGGGAAACTTGGGTAGCCGCAAATACCACACATTTTCTTTTCCACAACAAGTTTCTTAGTCATGAGGCTGTTTTTTTTTCTCTTGGGTAAAGGTTTCTCATAGTTTCCTACTTCACAGTATTACAGGATCTGGAGATGGCGAAACCTATGGAATGAGTTTTTTAATGAAAACATGTACTGTATGTGAGTGTGTACATCAACATCTTTTTTTATGCATATTTGTAACTACTCGTTTATGTATGGAACTACTATCACTTAATCTTTTTCAAGCGCTTTTGAGTGGTTCCGTCAGCACTTTGTTGCTATGAAATAGTATATCGTTTCTGAATCTGAATGATCTCATTGTGTTTCGTAAGCTTGTAACATTATAAGTGTACAAAAGTAATCTTTTACATAGTAAAACACTGTAAGTATTAACTAATAAAGAACTGTTGAAATGGCATAGCTTTTCACGACTCTGTGCAAGTATGACGTCTTCGTGTGGTCTTTTTGTTTACCAACTGTTCAAGGGTACAGTGTGGTTGTGAATGAGTGCTCTGCTCTAACCAGTAGGGTGTTTCAGGTCGTGAAAACCCCCCCTTTTTTTTTAACGTTTTTGCATTTAGATAGGAACACGTTAATGTAGGCATGACTATGTTTCATTTTTCCTGAGCGGCTTCTGAAACACAAAGGAGTGTGGAAGTTTGCCGTTCATTGATACGATTCCCGTGGTGAACAAAGCTTTGCGTCTTCCCATAAACGCTTGCATGATGTCGGCGAATGGTACGTTTCGGCTAGTCATAGTCCATATTAACCGTAAGGACCATCAATAACCGGTCTGAGTAGCCCTTCGAAAGATACAAGTGTCAAAAAGGTGGAGAGCGTGAGCTTTTTCGAACAATTTTTGACATTGAGAGGGACACTCAGGAAAATAAATTATACTTCTGGATTCCATGCATGTGCCCTCCCATGCAAAAAACTGCGTAAAAGAAGGGAGGCACAACTTGAGACACTTCCTCACCAATGTTGCGTCACGCATTCGAGATTGCAGGTAGTTGTGAGAGCGTTTGAATGGTCACATCAGATCTCTATGCGGGTTGCGCTCCCTTTATCTGTGTGACTCTGAGTGCCGTATGATCCGACGTACCTGGGATCGCATGGAAATTGCTTATGAAACCTCAGATTGATGTGTGACCTCAGATTTTGGCCACTCTGACCACCAATGGCTGTGTGGACCAGACAGTAAAGGCAAGAATCAACGCGGCGTCAGAATTGATAAAATGGAGGGAGTCCACTGGAATCCTCTGCGATCGAAGGTGCTCCAGAACGCTCAAAGGGAAGGTGTACCGGACAGTGGTAAGGCCTGCGATGCTCTACGGCAGCGAGTGCTGGCCCCTGAACAAGAATCACGAAAGCACTCACTCCGCTGAGATGAACGATGCTGAACAGGGTCAGAAACGAGGATGTCAGAGCGGTCATGCAGACTGCCCCTGTCCAGCTGAAGGTGAGGGAAGCAGCGACTGCGGATGGTATGGGCACGTGCTAAGAAGACCACAAGGCCACCCAATAAGGAATGCAATGGACTTCGAAGCGCAAGGCAAGCGACCGCGAGGAGCCCCAAAGAAGAGGTGGAAGGACGTCAATCAAGGACCTAAGTGAAGCTATGGCCACAGGCAGAAGATGCGCTGAACAGATGTAATTGTTTACTCTTGCATCTAATGGTAAGTTCGCAACAGTCTTTATTACACCTTTGATACGGTCTTCAATTGGCTCACGGTTCACTACCAAAAAGGGTTGATCAGCTTATTATCATAAAGCAAATCATTTCAATTAATTTATTTATTCTCATCAAAACATTATATCAAAGAGCAATTAGCAAGTGAAGTTTTTACAAGTGAGGGTAATCACAACGAAAGAACATTTGGTAACTTAGGCGATCGTAAAGAAGCGATGCTAAAAACGGAAAATCCTGCATGGAACTGAGCGGATCATCGCAGACATTGTCGCATAGCTAGAAAACACTTGGTCTCGACGACCACGGAGATGCCCAGCAGAACGGCGATTCCGCTCGAGAGGAACATCGTCCACGGTCGCGTGTCGTAGAAGAATAGTGTGAGCGAGCAGAACGTGCAAACAGCGCACAGAAAACCCTGAACGGATGATTCTCTGACTAGGGTCACAGAAAAGGGTTGGCGCACCTGAACGTACCGTCCAGACGAGATGTGGGAGCAGCAGATTGTAGGAATTGGTGAACAAAGCGATGAGCGAAACGAGAATGGTGAGAAGCCAAAGAAGAACAATCAGCCAAGCCACAAACACAACATTCCTGGAGAAAATCACAAGATACCTCGATTTCACTGAAGGCACTGATAACTGAAATCGCTCACTTTGTCTCCTCACTTTCGAAATGCTCGACGTTTTTAGTGAGATTTAGGGAGTTTTCCAGAAACAAAATAACAGCGACAAGCATTTGCAGAATGACAAGAATAGACAATGGGCCTTTGGCAGGCGTGTGGCGAACGCTTGAAGGATTGGCTTTCATGAGGACAGAAAGCTGGAGGCTCAGACAGGAGGGTCAATGGTCGCCACCCATTTAGCTCTGCTGTAGAGACGAGCGAACGGTAGAAGAGCGGTGAAGTAGAGGATAAGCACAAACCCGACGAGCAGCGGCGCACCAGCCACCACCGCCGATGCAGTCAGCAGCACAGCAATTGGCCACGATGCAGCCTGAAATGGATAACTGTAAAATCAAGATTTCATTAGTATGCGTAAAATTATTCATATTTGCAAAAGATAGTTAGAAGATCAATTTCTACTACAATCATTGCCTTTGTTGTTGGATAGGTCCGTTATGTTCCAACCCAATTGATAAGATTGGGATACGGCAAGCGGGATATTCGCGGCACTCGAGTTTGGACTGCTCTCAGCG